ATCAACATTTTAATTTTTGGCTACATGAAAATTGCTGGAAATGTCATCTTATTCTTCAGGGTTGTTTTGTAATCAACCCATTCGATCTTCCCCTTTATATATAGAACTTGAGACAAGTCTTGAGTTTTAGTTTATTTCGCAAATTCGTTTTGTTTTAATAATTGATTTGAAAAATAAATTCTTTTCTACCTCATATTCACATCAAAAAATGATGTACCTGTGAGAAAAAGAAAACGAAATTAAGTAAAACTTTATAGGCAAAATAATAAATAATATATGCAGGGTTTAAATTCTACTTACACTCGCATTACTGAAGACGTTTAAAAAACGCGTTATCATAAGTCCATTAAAACCGAGGACGCTTGAATGAAGAAATGCGACAACTAAATTGATAGATGAACTTCATCACTTGATTTGTCCCATAATTGAACAAAATTCTATAATGTGAAACTTTCGAAAACAAAAACATTTTAAACCGCAATGTGAAGATTGAAACTGAAGCATTTTACTATTATGCTTGTTTCTGTACGTATTTGCAGTTTTTATAAAATCCGAGAGTCTCAAGAACAAGGAGCAGAGGCTAACACTTAGCAATCACTATCGGATACGAGGATATTGTTTTGTCCGGCATGAGTGAATACGGTTGAATGAGTTGGATGCGATAGAAGCTTGCCTGTATGCATGATGACTCCTTCCCCTGATGCAGAACTAATCGAATACAGTCGTATGAGACGTCATATAAACAAAACTAAAAAAATGAGTTGATATGACAATTATTACTAATACATGTCAATATTAAGGAAGCATTTAATGAGTAAAATTCACATTCGATCGACGTTTTTTGGAATGCATAGCAAAAGTAATCCAAGTAAACAAGAAATAAATCTGTTGATTGCACCATTTGTCTCAACATCAAATTATTGCTTAGTGTAAGGAATTTGCTATGACAAAATAGCGGTTATCCCGAATTTACAACTAGATTGCGGACCAAAGTTGACTAGGAACAGAATATTATAGTTAGTAGGGTTATTGACTTCAAGCTTCCATCCTCGACGAACGTCTTTCTCTGCTGTGTACCTTATTGGTACTGGATAAATGCTGTTGTGTAATAAACTATATTACGGAAGAGAGTGATATGTACCCTATGGAGTGAAGAAAGCTGACTTGGAGAATATTGAACATATTATTACATGCATTTAAAAATTAGAAGAAACACTCAGTGAAAACCAACACATTCAAAATCGAGTCAGTGCCTATATCATTAAAGGTAGAACTGTTCGAAATCTACGGCATATTGGATATACAATTTCATTTGATTTGATACAAACGAAACAAATGTTGCAAAACCCGATGCTTGAGCCAGTGAAACAATATTTTTAAATGCTGAAGCATGAAAGCCGTCAATCCTGTTAGTAATATTACAACCGAGAAACACGAAAGACTACAGTTATGCTTCGAGTTACATAATATAGTGATCTGATTGAGCCATATGGTGCATATATAGCATTTATAGTATTTATAGTGATTTGATGGACTTGAGTTCCAGGTTGCCAAGGTTGGGGGAACAAAAGGAAGATTCATGCCCAAGCCATCAAGAAGTCCGAAAACTTATCGGCAAAAACAGACCAGTTCATCGCAGATACTTCTAGAAAATATTGGAACATCTATGATTCATATCATTGACACTCATCCACCTTCCTTATCGAAGATCTGTTCAATATGCCTGACCAAAGGAAAGACTCATGCCCAAACCATCAAGATGTCTGAAAACTTATCGGCAAAAGCAGACCAGTTCATCACAGATACTTCTAGAAAATATTAATTGGAACATCTACGGTTCAAATTTTTGGCACAGTCATCCACTTTTTTATCGAACATCTCTTCAATATGTCTGTAAAGTGTATAGTTTTAGGAAGTGATCTATAGGTGAATATTTCCGGTACATCAAATGATGTCCTAACTAGATATTGTTGACATTTTTTAGCAGCCAGCAAAAATGCCGCTTATGTCATTGTCATCAGTATTGTCCTCATCAAGTTGATCATTGCTAAATTATTTTTTGGCGTAAAGTTCTATTTCCTTCTATTTCTCTCTTTCAAATTCTCGAGCTTTATCTAGTTTCGCTACATGATAGCAATTGAGAAAAATCTCGGGATTTCTTTAATTAAGCTGTATATCTTATAATGGAAATTTGTTACTTATGACTAATCAGTAGTTGCCAATAAAGTTTTATCCGCGATTGTTCTTGCCATGTAAAAGTTTTTTTAAGTAACCTATAGTAGTAGTTAATTGCGTAAGCTGAAAGTAGACACTCACTGCTTCTATAGGCCGAATGCTGCCAATCAAATTATAATTGTTCAGTCATCCTATTCATTTGTACACTAGATTTTTCATGATCTACAACGAATTTTTCAAAACATTGACCATGATGTGGTCAAATGGTACTTCATTGATCATGTGGTAATTACAGTCGGTAATTACCAAGATGATAGGTTCCTAATTCCCGTCATGATATTTACTTACTGAATATTTACTGGTGTAATTCCTTTCCGTGACGCTGGATTGATGTTTCATAGTATTTTTTATTGTGTTCTTTTGAGAACAAACAACGAACGAACCTCGATTGAAGCTCCCTTATTGGATTGAAGCAAAGGCAATATATTTTCTTGCTTCGAATAAATTAAATTTGCATAATCAGAAATCCAAAATTATTCAGGAACTGAAAACAACGAACGCGACAAGCAAATTGACCATAATTTCATTGAGAACATGGATGGGTAATTAGAAATAGTGGATATAGTTTGTGATGAAAATATGATGACTTTACTTTAAATTTTATTGGATTTACATTCATGCTTAATTTATGGTTTAAGCAACAACTCATTTAAATTCTCATGTACGATCTACAATTGTTTCGAGGAGGATTAATCAGGCTTACATTATTGATTTGTATGACTTTTTTTAAAAAATTCGAATGGTACAATATTGCAAAACTATTATACGACCAAGGAATGAGACATGCATACACGCACGACCATTATTTACAGTGTAATAAAGAAATATGACAAATAATGTATATATCTAACATAAGGGACACTGAGGCGTAAATAAGATTTTACTTATATGTCGGGCTCTTTACTGACGACTTTACTTGACCTCCAGTTCCATTTTCATTAAGCAATTTTGCAATTAATCAACATGAAGTTTTCTGACAAATTTTAGTAAAATTTTTATTGGAAAATTGAAATGCGTCTAAATCGTTTGGCAAAATCGAAGGCGCCATACAGGCGTGACGGGCATGCGTGCGACCACAAGTTGTATATTAATTTTTAATATACAAGTTTTTATTTTTTGTATACATAAGTGATAATTGAAATCATCCGCACGGTCGGGCACGTCCATAGACAATACGACGGAAACGACTGAAAAATTGTGCGTACGAGTGACAACCGAAGAATTCAAAATCGTAATGAGAAAATTTTTAAACGCTTATAACGGTCACAAAGCGGTATTTTTTTCGAAAATAAGTGGTTTTTTGAGCGGAACTATCCATACTTTTGGAGTCGCAGATACTTGTGCTTATATCTTTCACGTTTCAATAACCCACATACAAAATAGTGAAGGAATAAGTTGTCCAAATCAAATCTCTCCATGTTTCGGTAAGTTGTACATGCAGATGCTCGCGTAAACTCGCGTAGTGGAGTATCATTTTAGCTGCCTTAGCTATCAATCGAATTCATTTTGTTGTTCCTATAAGTTTTTAAGCCTTGTTCCTTATGTATATCTATCTACATGATTAAATTCTTCATTCTCTTCACCGACAACAGCAGGCATGGGACATCGTTACATTGAAAAATAGCAAAATTAATTAGTTCTTGGATTTTTGACAAACATGACCCAATGCTTGCATTAATTACTCGCTTTGTACATTACGGCACTCGTGCTGGATAAGTTAATCTGTTTGTGTAATTATTGTCACATAAAAAGGAAATAGAGTATCACGGGACGTTCAAGTGACTCCTGTATTGTATTCATGTCTTTAAGTCTTGTATTTTATTCACGATAATGGCAACTCTTGGAGCTAGTCTGATCGTGTCCAAATTAAACGCCGACAGTGCGTTATGGTTTTCTGAATTGGTTAACTTGCAAAAATATCCACAGTTGAAATAAATGCAGCTTTACTGATTGATCTCTGTAATTTTACAGCGATATATACAATAGTTCTGACTTGAACTCATATTCATTGAGGACCTGCAAGACTGTCGTAAAAGTTATTATGTTTTCACTTTTTTGAGAATCTTGGACCGGAGTTTCGTGAATGTATAATATATAATTGAAAGATTTTACATTAATTCATGATCTGTTATATGATGGAAAAGAAGGTAAAAAAACTAAGTAAATTTAGTTGTATACACAGATTTCGCTAGCAGACACGTGGCTCAAACATATTTAAGATATGATGGCGAAAAATCTCAAGTCATTTCACAGGAATTATTATTCATAACTAAATTGGACATCATAACATAACTTACGATTACCATGAGCCACATTATCGTCATGCATTTGAGCATTCATATCAGAGTTTGCAATTAATACATGGTACCAAATAATGAAACAGATATTGGCACGCCAGCTATTAAATATAAATGCTTTACCCGGGACCCGTATTTAGAACTATGGCGTTCATAACTATGACCTTAAAACTTCAAGATTCAATACCTGATGATTATTATGTACATAGAGTATGAAATTGATCGATAATATAAAGTAGCTGTTACAATATATACAAATTAAATAAATATTGTATAAAATATTTACCCATTCTGGATTGTAATACATTTTCTCCATTCACTCATTTCCAGTTTACTTACATTTTTTAATTAAAATTTGTTATTAATTAATGGAGATTTACTGTGCCGTAAAGACCTTCCGTAAAACAAGCGGTCCTAGTAATTATTAACTTTCTCTTAGCATTTTGTTGCGAGTTTACATCCACAAAATTTACATTCCTTTTAATTGTTTTCTTCCTCTTCTTGAAATACGTTCAATTTCCTCTTTTTATGTTTATTTTTTACATTCCTTTCAATTGTTTTCTTCCTCTTCTTGATATACATTCAATTTCCTCTGTTTATGTTTATTTTGAAAATATGCGAGGGCTCACGTGGCAGCTTTCATCCGCAATGGGAGCCTAATGATCTCCTCAGGGCTTATCTGTGATGGTATTGCTGAGCGACGTTCGTGAGAAGCGCGGCAAAAACCAGCTGAAAGTTCAAAAAATCTGAAAACGTGAAATAAAAATATATTAGTATTTGGTACATGCGCTGACTAAAGAAATTTATTTAATGATGATGAGGAATGTAGGTGTCAATGCCGAGGCATTGTAAACGCCACTTTGGCTTGGGGGTAAAAAACTTTCAGCGTTTGTAGCTGGTGGAATTTACTTAAATCCGTGGACCTGCCCAGAGAGCAGGAGAACAAAATACAATAACGAAAACAATAGACTGTCTCAATGAAAATTATGACAAATGACTAATCAAGAATATAAAGCAAATCTAAACATACATGAAAATACTGAACAATAGGTACATGATTCAAAAGGTTTAGCAACTAAACTTAACTTACGTTGGTTTTCAAGGGCTGCTCAATGGAACAAAATTGCGAGACTACTGACAAGATGATAGTTCATCTGTCTAAGACGGCTGCAAGGTGAATGAATTCCTAAAATGCGATAGGCCTAGACGACGCTAATCCGCCGAGTTAATGGTTCTCGGCACAGTATGTTCTTCCGATAGAATTAGTTCAGCTTTAATACTACAAAATGTATGATGTCAATCATATATAATTTGCAGAATTTGTCTTTGTTTCGAAGCTAAACTGAATCGTAAAATCATAATTATTCAAGGTTGTCAATAAAATTATGAATTAATAGTAGATTTACTTTATTTTGCAAGCTATTTTTTCATTTACTCGGCCTCCTCGAAAGGCCCCCTGTTTTTTACATAAACACAAAGAAAAAATTATAAATGCCGTGATAGAGGCGAGGCTTATGAGGACTCACAGCTCGTGAGGAGACGCCCTCCTGCAGCGACGCGCCCTTCGTGCCCCGAGGCTCGTGCCTGCTGGGCACGTGTGTGTAGGAGCACGTCGGTAGACTCGTGGTAGAGCCCAGGCACGTGAGACGTGCATCGTACCCTGTCGATCACACGCGTCAAGACAACTCAGTGACTTGAGTGAACAGATAAATAAATCATCTGAATGAGAACAGTGAGTGATGAATCGTGAGTCGTGCATCGTACTCTGTTGTTTGCACGCGTCAAGACAACTCAGTGAGAGAACAGATAAATAAATATTGTGAATAAGAACAGTGAGTGATGAATCATAATAAGTTTTCCGGATGTAAGTAGGATGAGTTGAACGGTATGCGTCGTTGCGAGGTAAATGCGTGATCGCCTGGATTGCAGGTAGCAACTTGAAATTTGAAGTTATTTACTGTGCAAAAATTAAGTAGAAGCTTTCAATAACGTTAAGCTTGAAGTTGCCTATGTAGTGAACCACTAAACATCTCCTAAAGTTCAAAAGATGGAACTACGTCATTTATGATGACAGGTGAGTGCCATTACAATGAATGATTAATATTGTTATTACCAAATGTGGTAATAGTATAATAAATAATCAATAGATTATGCATTAAATTAAAATGCTTCGAAACATAAAAAATTATTAACATAATATAGACAGCACTTTATTTTTGACGATACCTGACAGCACCATCAGCAGCGTCTTGGATGAGGTGCTCGCGCAAGTAGAAGCGCAGACGCAGCGTCGTCGTGAAGAGACCGTCCGCGCCTGCGGATGTGGAGGGCGGCTCCAGCCAACCTGCCCGCGGCTGTGTGAACAACCATACTAGTACATCTCGTGCAAGAACATTTTAATTTTTCAGAATCATCTATTTCTAGTGACTTATGCATACATGTCGTTATACTGGCAAATCTAGTGCAGCAGCAGGAACCTTTCAACTTTTCATAATCATCTATTTCTGTAGTGACTTATGCATACGGTACATGTCGTTTGGGGAAAAATGTACAGTTACGAAAATTTGATTTTTTTTAACAATTTCGGTCATGTGACTATCTATCATAGTTCCATCGAATTTATAACGAACATGCGTTCGCTGAACACTTCCAGCTGATTAGCCTTGATTAAGATTATTATTACCAGCTTAACGCAGTCATAATTACAAGGTTGCATAAATTAACGCAAAACATCCATAACTTTTGTTATCGTACCGCCCCAAACTTACGAGTACTCCATCTCAATGCTGATTGATTCATTTGTTCGGCTTGATTTACTTTCAGGCAGCCTTAATATTCGTTCAATTTAATTGGTCAATTGAAACCATTTTAGTTTGATAAACTTTCATAAAAAGTAATATTTACGACGATGCTGGGGGACTACTTCTTTCACTATCTCAAATGGTATAAAAGGGTTTCAGTTTATATAAGAAACTGATTATTCACAATATATTTGATAAAAGACGTATGTACAATTACGTTGTGCCGTGTAGTAGTACTTCCCAGCTCGTAACTAAAACATGAATGACTAAAATTCCGAAAGCACACAAAACCTAAATTGCGGAACTGAAAAGTCTAAATGAAAATGGAATAATTGTTGCTTAAATATGAATAAATTTATACTATTCCCTAACAACGACTCACCTCCTTGCCGTTGATAGAGAAGGTGAGTACAGGGGCTGGTCGGGTTTCGCTAGCGATGCATGTGAGCTGCACCCAGTCGTCAGGTACGTACAGCTCCTGAACACCTCGCAGCTCAGGGCCTGACGCAGGCAGCGCTACCGGGCAGGCTAAAGTAAAGCGCCCGGCCCACTCATACGTGGGGTAAACTCAAACGTAAGGCAAACTCTAATAACGAAAGGCAAACTTAAACTTACTGGTAATTCAAATTATATTACAAGCTCAGGGCACAAAATAACTTAGAAGATTAATAAACTAAAATCTCTTTGAAACTAATACCCATTGCGAAGTGATTTATCCGTGGCTTACAACCTAAGTCTGAAGCACGATTAATCTCAAATTCCCAGCCAAACTCAAATGCGCACCTAAACTCAAATCTTTAAGCAAATTAAAATAATCAAACTCAAACGCTCAAGCAAATTCAAATGCACAAGCAAACTGAAACGTTCAAACAAATTCATACGGAAAAACAAACTCGAACGTCTAAGAATTCTCGAACATGTTTATTCAGCTCAAACTCTAAAAAAAATTCAAATTCGAGTCGTAAAATGATTAACGTTATTGCAATGAACCATTTATCGCTAAAATTTCTGTAACCTCAAATAAAGTCTAGCGTCAATAGTGAAGCCTGTTAATATGTTATCTTATCAGCAACTTTGTACCTTTCGTTGTATTAATAGGTCAACTAGTTTCAAAAGAGCACCTGTCTCGTTGTTGTTGTAATGAGCATGGAAGAATTGTATCATACAAACGTACTTTACTGCATCACATCATTATTATTTAATGCATCATAATATTATTATTTACTGCATCATAGCATTATTATTGACATTGAATGAGCCACCTATTATCCGGACGTTAGCGACGCCGTAGTCCGTGTAGAACCTGGGCGCCTCTCCGGACACCTCGCACCTGAAGGCTCCGTCCGCCCCCACCGTCACGTTGGTCACGTGCACCTTGCCCCCCGACGACTTGTTCACCTGCGCCATAACATGTAGCTTGTGTCAGGGATGGTAATAGGTTTATGTGAACACTGCTAAGTGATAATTGAATCTCTGGAACCAAAATATGATAAAATATATGATCTGCTGTTTGTTAATAAAGGTTGTTCAATGACCTTATGACCTTATGATGAGTATAGGACTTCGTAGTCCACGGTCAAGCTGATGCTCCGCCTTCGTCGTCCATCGTCGTCAATGTTATGAACTTTCTCGTGAGAATCGTTTCTAAAGATTTTTTTAGTGGAATTTGATAACGGTGATCAAGCATGTAGAATTGAGTGCCAGGAGGAGAGCTTCTTAGTAGAAATAGAAGATTTATTTGCACACGGAACATATATTTGTTCAGCGAGGAATCTAAGATCATTGAAAGCACCAGATAATGAGAACGCATTAAAAGTAGAACCTAGAAAATGAAAAGTACGCCACAAACAAAAATGAAATTCACTCATTCAATTTTGTATGATAACGCATTAACAAAAAAGTGACTCATTGCTGGAGTCATAGGCTTTTGAAAATGTAGGCAAGTTCAGGAACAATAAAAAAATCGTCAATAAAAACCTTCATCTACTTTAGTTCCTATTAGAATTTCTATCACAAAATGCAAGTTTTCGCCCCAACGCCAGTTGCCTCAGAGCAAACAGGCGGAGCTCGGCCCTCATCACCCAAAAAGGCAACACAAAGCCTCAACAGTTTCATTTGACCGATAAAGTGGGCACGACGCATTGTTTACATGCGCCACAACTGCAATACATGCGGCGCGTGTGGCTGCAGTGGCGTAATTTAACAAGATTTATCCCTCATTGGAACCCAAATTAAAGGGAAACTAAAGTGCTGTGTTTCTCAACCGGCTGGCTCTATGATCGCGCTCAAGATTGATAACAACCGGGTTCAATATTGTTGCAGTTTGTAGCTCGATAACGCACGTGTATTTGAAACCAATTACTTCCAGAAATTCTTTCAATTTAATCAAAATTTGTGTTTCAAGAATTAATTCTGCTTAGGCTTAGTCATTATTACTGTGCGCACAAGACAGTTAACAGATTCATTTCATGATAAAATGAGTCATTCCATAAATCAGTACAAATCGTTGAATCCCCTACATCGTCGGTGCAATCAAGAAGTACCCGTACAGTCAGAATATCCATGCAGCAAAACTGGGGTAAAGCCGAGACCACAATCACATTTGTACGTTTGCTGGAAGAGCATCGATTTCTGGCGGCAGCGTCACCAAATCACGAGGATCTGCTTTAGTGAAGCGGGGGTAACCTTAAATGTAATTGCCGGGCCAGCATGAAGGGAGCCTTTCGATCACTGTGCGAGCTTTTGCTGCTGCGAGGCGGCACTGCGGATGCGATGAAATTTGGGTCTCGTAGTTATTTAATGCACATAATGCATTATTTGCTCCGCATATAGATTACTCTATTTAATTACACATGCTCTGAATATTTTCCTTGAAATGTATACTGCTAGCGTCATTTTTGTCATGCATCTTGCAGTAGAAATGAGAGTAGTGAGTTGCGCAGAACTCTGAGATGACAAGGATTACAGTGAAGATAAAAGACGTGATGGCCTGAAAGGCTATTAAAGATTCTCAATCGAATTCTCTGAGCCTAGAGATAACATAGATATGCATATTTCCGCCACCACACTTGTTTTCTCATCCACTACACTTTATATTTCCGCTATCACACATTATATCTCCTCAACCATGACTCACCCTCCTGCCTAAATATTGACTGGACAAAAAAAAAATTTGCTCTGCTCTCTGATTTGCATCAATCTGACAGGACTTGTAGAGGACGGATAAATGAAACAAAAAGAAAAGCATATAGATATGAAATAACAAACCAGTTTAATCACTTGTCCCAGCTCTTCAATGCGGTTAAAAATTAATTTCACGTTTAAAATATACAACACAACTTCGTATTTGCTCGCTTTTAATTGAACATTATAGTTTTATTGTATATAAACTGTATTTGTATATCAACTATAGGGAGGAAAGAACAAAGTTCTTTGGTGCAATAACAGCCTCTTTGCTCGATCAAAGGCTCGCATCAATTACACGCTGTGTTTGACTTAAGCAACGAACAGAATTCGATAATAATAGTTTCTTGCCTACGCATCGGGGCAGTATGTTCAGTTTTAGCGCATCTGCAATTAATCTTTCATTTACTTTTAGTTCTGTCTAAAGATTGACGTTAATTTCGATTCTTCTTCCATTTTACGACTTCACTCAAGTTTCTTTTCATGAATTAATTTCAAATAATTCAGGTTCCGGCAAAGAAACGTGACTTTGGCTAGTTCATCACACGGTCATGGGCTAATTTAACTCAGAAATAGAGTTTTCAGCCCCTGAATTTATTCATGAACAGGAGCCATTCTGTTCTTGAACAGTGCAAATTTTTCGCAAGTCACTCACAGGACAAATTTTAGCGTGCTTAGATATCGTCAGACAATTTAGCTTGCATCGGCCGTTGTCGAGATTATTGGGTAATATTCCTGATAATAGTTCAAGGTAAAATGGTATCCAAACACACAAGTATTAGATAGATTAGATCAGAATAATTGCCACAATTAATAGGTGTCCGTGCTTCGTAAAAGACCTGAATGCACAACTGTGCTGCGTTGCCCTACGCTTCTAAACATCAATAAAATGCTGACAATTCATAACGTAGAACTCAGGGAAATTTATAACATGCAGAGGATCCGTGCGGCGACTCACATCAACGGAGAGGAAGTTGTTGTGGAAGACCTGCTGCGTGCGGACCTTGCCCGGCGTGTACCTGTAGATCTCGTTGATGCCCTGGTACCACTTGATGGAGTAAAGAGTTTCGCTGCCCAGGCTGAACTGACACTCCAGGTCCCCCGACCCCCCCACCGCCAGCCACGGCGGGGCCACCACGCGCGTCACGTTCAGCGCCCAGCAAAATTCCACTGAGGAAATATNTAAGTCTGCTCATCCCGCGCACTGCAACTTCATATGCGCGAACATCAAACACTAACGCACGCTGCCATAATTTGCTGTATACACAGCTGCCGTGTGTCTGATAAATCCTTGCCTCATCAGACGTCCGTGCTTGATAGAACTGTGCATGAGTACATTCATCAGACCTTTGTGCCTGATAAAGCTGTACATCAGTACATTCATCAGTCCTCCATGTCTGATAGAACTGTTCATCAGTACATTCATCAGACCTCCTTGTCTGATAGAACTGCACATCAGTACGTTTGCTTGTTGCATCCAGATTTATCCGCTCTTATGAATAGTAGAACCTTGTCGCATCAGTCCTTGTGCTTGATAAAGCCATCTCCTCTGATCTTGTGAAAAGTAAAATCGTGTTTTATCAACCCGCGTGTGTCATATGAAGCATTGCTGCATCAACCGTGTGCCTCCTTGTAAGTCCGCTTCATCAATTGAATATGCCTAGCGGACCTGCTTCATCAGCCTAATTTGTCTGCTGGATCTGCTTCATCAGCCAATCCAATCTGCCTGGTAGACCTGCTTCCTCAGACTCATCTGCCTAAAGTCCTTCTTCATCTGCCTGGTAGACCTGCTTCCTCAGCCTCATCTGCCAAAAGTCCTTCTTCATCTGCCTCATCTGCCTCATCTGCCTGGTATACCTGCTTCCTCAGCCTCATCTGCCCAAAGTCCTTCCTCGTTTGCCTCATTTGCCTGGTAAACCTGTTTCATTAGCCTCATCTGCCTAAAGTCCTTCCTCGTCTGCCTCATCTGCCTGGTAAACCTATTTCATTAGCCTCATCTGCCCAAAGTCCACCCTCATCTGCCTCATCTGCCTGGTAAACCTGTTTCATCAGCCTCATCTGCCTAAAATCCTTCCTCGTCTGCCTCATCTGCCTGGTAAACCTGTTTCATCAAGGCAGGAGAGAGGGTGAGGCAGGGTTATGGCTGCCTCTCTTTAGGGGCCGACGTGACTTGCTTGGAAGGTGCGCTCAAGTCTGCTCATCCGGCGCCCTGCAACTTCATATGCCCGACCATCAAAAACTAACGCACGCTGCCATTTTGATGTGTACACAGCCGCCGTGTGTCTGATAAATCCATGCCTCATCAGACCTCCGTGCCTGATAGAACTGTACATCAGTATATTCATCAGACCTCCGTGCGTGATATAACTGAACATCAGTACGTTGGCGTGTTACATCCAGATTCATCCGCTCTTATGAATAGTAGAATCTTGTCATATCAGTCCTAGTACTTGATAAAGCCACCTCCTCTCGTCGGTAATAAAAATATTGGGTCAGAGAGCATAGTTTTAATTGATCGCAAACCGATTTTCCTCTAAAAAAGCCCATCCTGGACCGATATCTGGATTTTATACCTTCTATTCAGCTTCTTCTTTGTTCTGCTCTATCTTCACCGTGATTTCCTGGCATATACAAGCAACTTTCAGCAGTAATTATTCTTCTGCCCGAGCTTCCTTTACATTAATCAATGAGTCCAGCAGTCTGCTGGAACATCGGCCTGTGCGACGACTTCTGGCCTCCCGGAACCAATTTGTCTTTTATTTTAAATTGAAGTTTTTTCCTGCGCGGTCAGCATTAAGGGATCGAGCCGGGCGCTGAGAGTTCTAGCAGCAGTGCTGGTCACCAAACATCTCAAAACACCGCCATAATTCCCCGCTGCTCGCCACAATAATACGGGAACAAATTAATTTTTCATCATTATTTTCTGTTTTAAATATATTAGAAGTCAACTATCATGTTTCCCTCAAAAACGGATAAATAAACGTCATGAGCAGGCAAGAATATTTTTTTTAAGTGATTGATAGACATCCCGTCGTAGACTTATCATGTAGAAAATTTTACTGTATGTAGTCAATACGAAATTGAAAACCAATGTAACCAAAATTTCAGCACATTTCTTGATTCTGATGCTGAGAGAACATAACAATAAAACTATGCCTTGTATTAGCAGGTATCTTTGTTTAAGTTCCATATTTATGCTCTCGAAGTTACAATAAGCTCTTTTAGACTATTTATAACAACATTTTAAACGTGAATTTCTATGCTTTAGTTCAGATTCACTTGAAATAGGCTTAATTTTTTCATGTTAGGATTACTGCAAAGTTTTGAACAAGCTCAAACATTTTGTTTCCTGTTCCAGATTGACTCTGGGTTCTAAAATATTGTTTCGTTTAAAACAGACATAAATTTCAATTACTTGTTGATGAATGGCTTAAAAATGAGTTTGGATTTCACTCTGAATGTTTAATATGCTCAGATTTGAATGTCAGAATTTCGCTTTCCTCGTTGGTTATTCGCTGATCGCCTCGAGGAGTGCAGGCTGAGCCAGTGAGAGATCAAAGCGCTTATCCGATGAGGCGCCCGATCTGCTCAACGCTGCTTCTTTATTATTAACTTGAACGAATTTATCATGTTCGAATGAAAACTAACAGAATATAAAGCAAAAAGGAGACGAGTTAACATGTGGGATTAAATGCATGAAAATTTCATCCATACTGACAATTTCATTTTTGTCTGATGCTTGTGATATTTTTTTATTTTTTTCTATTTTTCCCCTCAAGGTTTCCATTAGCGAAAAATAAGGTTTTGGGTCATAAGTATCTGAAAATTACTGCTTATTCAAAATTTAAAATTCAAAGCAAAAATTTAAATAAAAAATTCATATGAAGTCAAGACCGTACCATGCCTCTATACTACATTTGTAAATTTTTCGCAGAAAAAACCGCAGTTTCTGGCGCAGTCACATGAGGTAGGCGGACGTCGGAGGGAGAGTTTGCTTGGAGTGTTTAACAAAGATCAGACGACAAGCCCTCGTGTCCAGCGTCATGAAATCGTAAAAATGCAGCAGCAGCAAACATGGGCTCGCGATCAGTGAATAAAGTAATCATACACGAACCGCGGTGGGGGCGTGAACTTTTATTTCACGGTGTCTACGACGGAGAACCCGGCCTTCCATAAAATCCTTTCTTCAATGTGGTGCATGCAAGATTAGAACATGCCCTGACTTTTGATCTGGCAATTGGTTTAAAAAGATAATTTAAGTCATTTATCAAAATCATTTGAATGATTTAGTCCTCGATTGAAGTAAAAAAATTCTGTTAGTATTTAAACAAAAGAATTCTTGCGGATTTATCGATTTCGGATTATATTATTTTGCATGTAACGCATGCATGTGTGACTTCAAGTACTTCAGAATATGATTGCTTAATGGTCTTTCTTACTATGTTGGCGGATCTTGCGGCAACCAAACTGAGAAGCTAAATTCTTTAGTTGCTTCGCCTTTAAAAAGATCATCGCAAAACTCCGGCGAGCACGACATAAACTTAATTGGATTCCTTATCTTCCACGCCAGAATTATTTGTTTTTATCGCCATAAATTTTGGCATCATTTGACTAAGCTAATACGAGACTCTTATCGTTATTCTGTAAAAAAAATCTCCCATCCGTTAAGTTATATGATAAGTCACCGTTTAAGTCCCTGCAAGCACTCGCTACCTTGAATGTTGGTTGGCACGTGAATATCGCTAAAATATGGTTCATGCAAGCGTTTTGTAATCATCGATCTGTGTCAGTATTAATTGAAATTCTGAAATTTACTGTCAGTAAGCTTTCAAATCGGTGGTAACTTGTTAAAAAAACGAATTTTTCACTGCTAAACGAGTATCAGAGAACACGATGGCAAATTTTTTGGAAGCGTGATAATGAGGATAGGTAATGACACTTTCCAGCAATTGTGCGTGAAGATTTTCTTGTTCGTCTATCTATCTAGTTCGTCTTATCTAAGTTTTGCCCTCTCCCCCTTGTTGGTTATGACAAAGTTGTTGTAGTGCTTGGCTGTAGCGTCTTAGGAAAAACAACGAGACATACAATATGCCAGGGACTGCAAAAGGAAAAGCTCCCAGTGAAGGATCGTACTGGTAAATGGAATTTGATTTTCCTAATTAGTCTTCACGAAATGGTAAGTCATGACCTGTTCTGAATTGTCATTAATGTCGCAACTTCAATTTGGACTCAACGTTTTTCCAGGACGAGTTAAGTGTGCAGCAAAAGTGCTGCAGTTGAGTGTTTCGCGAGACTCCTTGACAGCAGAACCTCAATATCACGTAAGCGCCACCGACGCCATACTTTTGCTGCTCTTTCATTTGTGAGATTCCCTTTTGGCGACATTTTCTTTTACGCTGAGAGGGTTCGGTTAATTGGATCCCTCGGCGTAATGAGGCATGCGATTTGAATCAGTGTTAACAAGAAGAGTTTTACAGTCGTCGAAAATGTTCTTAATGATCGAAAGCGCACGATCTCTGTGTCCCTTCGACTTTTGTGATGGCTTTATTTGAGAATTCGGGACCTGCTGACTTGATGAACTTGTTGGTATGATCAACTTCCGACACAGACCGTCTTTGGTCCTACTTGATTGGCGATTCTACTTGATACTCTCTGAAGCTATCATACGAACTCCTTTTGTGTCATGCATGCATTTTATTGAAAGCATGTACTGTATAATTCTAGCCACTTGCATGGAGCACATGCCTGGAAATTTTTAGATAACAATCAAAGCTTTCAATAAATGCTTCCTACAAATGTAATTCATGTTTTGTGATAGTTATCAGTCACATCATATGTGAGGGAGGCGGAATCACACACGATATTTCAATTAGGTGCATTGCATGCAATTTGAAGCAAAAAGCCGTACGCTAAACACTTTTTGTTTACGAATGCATTGGCATATGAATTATGTTCAGGTTTCAAGCTCCTGAAAGGTGCTGCGTGGTAGACCAAGGTTTTACGAACCATTGATCTGGTGTCTTTCTGAAGGGAATGTATATACCTGACTTTTAATGAACAGTGACGGACTGTCGACAATTTCTCAATAGACTCGGATGGATGAGTATAGGCACGTGGCTTCAGCAGTAACACCATTGACTATGACGCTGAGTATTTGGAGAAATTAAACA